AAAGGGAGTTGTACCTTCCCAATACTGTCAAGAGCTTGCCAATGGTGGATTTTTTGTGTTTCCTGTTTTTTGTGTTTCAAATGTACCTTGTGAGCCACTTGCGGCTTAGGCGGAGCCCCGTGAGGTCATAGACACCCTTTCGCTGTTAGGTGCCTCTTGTGTGAAACTATTATACCATTTGTTTGTGCTCAATATAACCGGTCTAGGCAGATGGCCACCCACCAAGAGCATGGTTCTGTCGAAGGTTTCTTCCATTAAAGGGAGTTGTACCTTCCCAATATTGCCAAGAGCTTGCTAGTGGTGGATTTTTTGTGCCTTCTGTTTTTTGTGTTTTTTTTTGTGTTTCAAATCTACATTATGAGCCGCTTGCGGCTTAGGCGGAGCCCTGTGAGGGCACAGACAGCCTTTAGCTGTGAGGCCCCTTGTGTGTAAAACTATCTTACCATTTGTTTGTGCTCAATACAACCGGTCTAGGCAGATGGCTGCCCACTAAGAGCATGGTTTTGTCAAAGGTTTCTTCCATTAAAGGGAGTTGTACCTTCCCAATACTGCCAAGAGCTTGCTAGTGGTGGATTTTTTGTGTGTCCTGTTTTTTGGGTTTTTGGTTTTCAAATGTACCTTGTAAGCCGCTTGCTTTTCCAGTGGCTTGTGGGCACTGCTCCAAGGCAGGGACGGTCCACTGACCTGTTAGCCACTTGTAGCTTAGGTGGAGCCTCGTGAGGGCACAGAAAGCCTTTTGCTGTCAGACCCCTCATGTGGGAAACTATCTTACCATTTGTTTGTGCTCAATACAACCAGTCTATGCAGATGGCCACCCACCAAGAGCATGGTTCTGCTGAATGTTTCTTCCATTAAAGAGAGTTGTACCTTCCCAATATTGCCAAGAGCTCGCTAATGGTGGATTTTTTTGTGCTTCCTGTTTTTTGTGTTTTTTTGTTTTTCAGCTGTACCTTGTGAGCTGCTTTTAGTTTCAGAGGCATGTGGGCACTGCTCCAAGGTTCTGACGTTCCACGGCTTTGTGAGCCGCTTGCGGCTTAGGTGGAGCCCCGTGAGGACATAGATAGGTATTTGTTTTCAGTTGTTTGTTGCTGTTAACACTGCTTATTTTGTTATATTACACAGCCTTATGCTGGTATACTGTTTACTTGCCCCTTGCCTTGGGATATGTACATACACAATGAGCGTCCATGTACCCGAGTCAAAATCCTTGTGTGTCCGACACACCTGGCCAATAAAGCTGATTTTGAATCTGATTCTGAACTAAAGAAAACATTGGCCTTCTTACAGACAGCATTTTTCAGCTTCTAAGAGATTTCAGTAAAGTAAAGTGGTTCTAATGAACTTCACATTCAGCAAAGTAACATCTAAAAATATAGACCGGGAAAGCTTTTATATAAGAAAAGTTCGTAGTAACACTGAACTCACATTAAAGCTTTGGCGGAAGACTTAAAGTAAAAGTAACCCAAGAGCTGAAATTTCAGAACCTGAAAAACAAAAATCTCATTCTAACTTTTCAAACACAAGGACAATTAAGAACATCATGAGTCAGCCTACAGACGGGAGGTTGAGCAGCTGGTCCTGTGGTGTAGTCGCAACAACCTGGAGCTGAACACGCTCAAAACAGTGGAGATGACAGTGGACTTCAGGTAGAGCCCTCCCACCTTGCCCCCACTCACCATACTTGGCAGCACTGTATCAGCAGTAAGGTCCTTCAAGTTCCTGGGCTCCACTATCTCCCAGGACCTGAAGTGGACATCCAACATCAGGACCATCACCAAGAAGGCACAGCAAAGGATACACTTCCTACACCAGCTCAGGAAGTTCGACCTGTCCCAGGAGCTGCTGATACAGTTCTACAGAGGAATCATCAAGTCTGTTCTCTGCACCTCCATCACTGTCTGGTTTGGCTCAGCAACCAAACAGGACAAGTACAGACTTCAGTGGCAGAAAAGGTCATTGGCGTGAGCCTGCCCTCCATGGAGGACCTGTACACCTCATGGGTCAAAAGGAGGGTGGAGAGGATCACTGCAGATCCCCCCCGCCCCCGGACACAACCTGTTTGAACTCCTCCCCTCTGGACGGCGCTACAGGTCACTGTGCACTAAGACAACCAGGCACAGGGACAGTTTCTTCCCCCTGGCCATCACTCTGATGAATACTTAACCCACGACAGTATGATTAGACAATAACCCTCAGTGCAATACCTGTGTCTATATACATTGTACAGATTATACAGTACAGACCCATACAGGTCTCTAGCACTCTGTTTTAAGTACTCTATTTTTATACCTAATTATCTCATTTTAATGAACATTCCTTTGTTGTCTGCATTGTTTACTGTCTATTTATACTGCTTTTTCTGCATTGTTTGGACTGTTTGTTGATGTTAATACTGCTATTTTGTTATATTACAGAGCCACATGCTGGTTACTATTTGCACATTGAGAGCCGATGTACCTGAGTCAAATTCCTTGTGTGTCCAACACACCTGGCCAATAAAGCTGAATCTGATTCTGATCAAAAACAACAATAAAATGTAACCATCTACCCAGATGATGAGCTTCTATATAGAAATAATAAATAATCCTTGTCATAAATATTCCCCTCCTTGTCACCATTATTCTTCAACTTATGGTAACTGTACAGTGCTAAGTAGCAGTGCTGGAATCAAAATAACTGCATTGCTTGTGTTGAACAAAAATATTCTCCAAAAGATGCTTAAATGTAAAAAATCTTGTGTGTGTGCAGAACATTCAAAATTCATGTAGTCTTCATGTCAGGAGAGGCTGGACATAGTGTAGACCCGCTGGTCTTTCCCTCCAACACCACAC